ACACACACACACACACACACACACACACACACACACACACACACACACACACACACACACACACACCAAACGATGTGATCTCACAAACATAAATCAATAATCATTTCCTGCAGGTAAACATGGTTTATTTGGTTGATTCAAACTGAATAAGCCCCAGTCAGCGTTAAAGCAGCCACTTCCCTCTTCCAGGATTTTATCCCACAGGTGTGTCTTCAGCTGTTCACACCGCCGGAGCCTCAGCCAGAAAACCAGAACCCACCAAACATTCGAGCCCGCCGCTCGCCTGCGCTCCTTCATGTGATCGGAGCTTTATTAGTCGGGCATCTTATGGGAGCTCTTGTGATGGATGTTGGGCCTTTACAGCAGTGCACCGGAGGTGCGCGCGGCAGGCGTCACCTGGGGGAGTCGCCTTCCTATCACATTGTTTGCATTCATTGGATTTCTGCTCCAGCAATCACTCAAACCGCTAATGAGGCCCCCGCAGGACCGGGGAGTGTTTGGATCACAGTTACACCATTGTTTGATCTGTTTAATGCACGGCTCCTCGCCGTAACCRGAACCCTGGAAACCAAGGTGCCATTGTTGGGCTCGTCACACTGCTGCACGTCTAAATACCTCTGACTGTTTAACATTATCATTAAAATAAAACAGATCAGTGGTCATGACTCATGTGACCTTAACGAACTCATCACTGAAACTTTAAAAAAGTAATTTTTGGATCTGCGTCTATAACTAATTAGCTGGTGGAGACAGGGTTGTGTGATATTGGCAAAACAATTTATCCCGATAAATTGCGGCATTTAGCTGATAATGATTAATAGATGACGCATGTTTTTGACCCTAAATCAGTCACCCTCTGTTCTAAAATTATACTTATAAAATCATCAATCTAACTCACATTATAAAAAGAGTCAGATTGATTGAGAGCCTCGTGTTCCCACCGTTTGATGGAGGAATTTGTTGTAGCCGACGTTGCCTCGTCCGTATTTTCAGATTTGTACTTTGGTTTTTGACTGTTTCTGTGGGTATTGTTAGCATTAGCTCCACCTAAGTATTAATGTTAGCTCCATGTTAGTGCTGGCTCTGCATTAACGTTAGCTCCACAGTCGTGTTAGCTGTGCACTAGTGTTAGCTCAGTGTTAGCATTAGCTCTGTGTTAAGTGTTAGTTCTGTGTTAACAGTAGCTCCATATTAGTGTTATCTCTGTGATAACATTAGCTACCTGTTATCGTTAACTCCGCTTTGGTGTTAACTCTGTGTGTGTGTTAGTTAACGTTAGCTCCACGTTAGTGTCAGCATGTTTTTAGCTTCATGCTAGCGTTAGCTCTGAGTGTTATCTCTGTGTTAATGTTAGCTGCGTTTTAGTATTAGCGCAGAGTTAACGTTAGTTTTGTATTAATTCCACATTAGTTTTAGGGTTAGCTTAGTGTTAGCATTACCCCTGCATTAGTGTTAGCTCCATGTTAGTGCTAGCTCTGCACCAAGTTGACTTGTATCGGGGCCTTTAATTCTACATTCAGTCCTGTCATCCGGCCATGTCACAGTATTTGTGCTTTCGCCCTAATTTAGACATCGTGTKGTGATTTTAAAAAGGCCTGCGCTCTCCCGCGGTGCGTGGCCTTTCAGTCTCWGCACCGGTGCTGTGGGGGGGAGAGCTGACATGACTGACAGTTTTAGTGGGTGGTAAGGATGTGTGTGTTCCCCCGAGCAGGAGGTGCAACAGTCGACRGTGTTTCCTTCCCTCCCATCGATCAGAGGCAGTTAGACCATGTCTGTCCACATAAAAGGTCACGGGCTGTCTCTGTGTCTCCAGTGTCTCTGCAGATGGACGAGAGCTGCTGCGTTTATGCAGAAAAGTRTGGATGCACTTTATACGTCACTGAGGGGCCTGAGAGGAAGGAAGGCTTTAAATCCAGTCACGCATCTCAACAACTGTGCCTTAAAAACAAAACAACTACACAAATCWCTTTTTGTGAAACTGAGAGCTGAGTGTTTAATTAAAACTTCAACAGAAGCTGAAAGAGTCACAAGGCTAACTACAATCTAACATTAGCTCGAAGCTAAAAGTAGCAACATGAAAGTTAAATGCTAAAGTAGCAGATGATATAGCCAAAAAAAGCAAAACACTACCTAAAAGTAGCAGAACAGTAGCTAAAAGTTAACTTAGATCTAACAGGAGCAAAACATTATTTTAAAGCTGAGGTAGCAACATGGTAGCTAAAAGCTAAAGTATTAGATGATATAGCTATAAGATGAAATGGCAAAATATACTTAAAAGGTAAGGTAGAACATAAGCTAAAAATGAACAGCAGCTAAAAGTAAAACACTAGATGAAAACTGAAATTGCAAAACATTAACTAAAAGCTAAAGTAGCAATATGCCAGCTAAAAGCTAAWGTAGCAGATGAAATATTCAAAAGCTATAATAGCAAAATACTAATAAAAGCTAAAATAGCAGAACATTAGCTAATGCTGGTGTAGCTGAACAGAAGCTAAAGCTTACAAAGGCTAAATAAAGCTAAGCTAACCAAATGTCACCTAAAAGCTAAAGTAGCAGATGAAGTAGCTAAAAGCTGTAATAGCAAAATGCTAACTAAAAGCTAAAGCAGCAAAACCACAAATTAAAAAATAAAGCAGCAGAATTATAACCAAAAGCTAAAAGCTTAGCTAAAAACCCTAGCTGAAAGCTAAAGTAGCAGATGAAGTAGCTAAAAGCTGTAATAGCAAAGTGCTAACTAAAAGCTAAAGCAGCAAAACCACAAATTAAAAAATAAAGCAGCAGAACTATAACCAAAAGCTAAAAGCTTAGCTAAAAACCCTAGCTGGAAGCTAAAGTAGCAAAACCGTAAGTAAAAAGAAAAGCAGCAGAACTATAAGCTAAAMCTAAAGGAGCAGAAGTGTAGTTTAAAGTGCCAGAAGGTGAATATTAAAAGCAGCGCAGGAAGCTGGTTTGCTGAGACAGATTTTAAAGGGAATATAGATTTTAAATGAACTGAAAAGATCTCAATGTGTTTCAGAGAAAAATATTTGTAAATAAAGTTTTATAAAACATGAAGGTCACAAAAAAACAAAAAAAGCAGCTGTCTCCTGAATTTTCACAACTCCTGAATACTAAAATAGCACACAGTGTGCAGAGGTAGCTGGATTGTAAAACGTACAGAATAATAAAAACAATCGCGTAAATGCTGACTCAGCGTTTACACAAAGAGAACAACCCCTCGGAGGAAGAACCCCGTGCCCTCTACTGTAGCCGATAAAACRCTGTCCCCTTCACTTGGCAGCAAGAATCAAATATTAATTACGCTTAATCAAACTTTGCAGATTATAGGAACGGAGAAAAGAGGTGAAAAAATGGACGAGCGCACACAGGATGTATTCACGGCACGTTGGCGCATCAGAAGTGCTGAGCAGCCCTTTCGCTCAGGTGGAAATTTTTTAGGCGTATTAGCAAAGTTATTAACGCTCCTTGATAGGAGAGTCGCGCTCTCGGAATGCAGACGAGGAGAGCTCGGCTCAACCACCTACAGGATGATAATGATGAGGTCACTCATGCAGGAGGTGAAACCGTCTCCTTGTTGTTAAAACGAGGTCCAACAGGAACCTGAAGTCCTTCCAGGGTTTGTAGAAGAGTCTCGGGTTATAAACAGTCGACGTGCATTTAGAAGTCCTCTGAGGGATTTCTGTGTTTTGTGCTGAGTTTCCATTAATGAGGATGATGATCACTGCTGGATTATAAGGGATGAGTCATCTTGATTTATTGATTTGAACGGGGGGTGGGGGGTTAAACAACCTCCTCCTACAGAAAAGTTGCTGCAACATAATCATAACTAAAACAACTGAGGTCTTTACAGAGCTCATTAATACCTTTAGTTTCATTTATTTGAGAGAAAACTTCTGTTTACAACATAAATTGCACTTTTATGTTACAGATTGTATTCAGTCTGAAACTTTAAAAAATTTCTGAGCGTTCATCCCTAAAA